AGCCTGCAGTGCGGTCTACCTTTTTCCCAGGGAAGGTGATCCCCCACCTGAGCTAACCCCACAATATAGATATAGATAGATATAGATATATAGTTTTATATATGTGTGTATATGTATTTTATTAACAAAGCTTTTGCTTTACAGCGCTGCGCTAGTGTAAATGGCAGTTGGGTGGTCATGCAACAATGTACCCAGATTAAATGTATATCATTTTTTTTTTTTTTTCACACAAATAGAGCTTTCTTTTGGAAATATTTGATCACCACAGGGTTTTTTGTTTTTTTTTGCACTATGAATGAAAAAAGACCGAACGTTTTGTAAGAAAAAAAAAAAAACCTATATTTTTTACTTTCTCCTATTAAACATATCCCATAATGAATTAAAAGACAAAACAAAACATTTCTTCATAAATTTAGGTCAAAATGTATTCTGCTTACATGTCTTTGGTAAAAAAAAAAAAAAAAAAAAATCCCAATAAGTGTGTATTAATTGGTTTACATGAAAATTATAGCGTCTACAAATGACTGTGTGTTTATACACTAGAATTATTATTTTTTTTTTTTTATACTAGTAATGGCAGCAATCAATGACTTGTATAGCAGGACTGTAATAATACGGAAGGCAATCTGACAATACCTGACACTGACATCACCAGTGAAACTAATACAGTGATCAACACGAAGCTGATGTTCTGGCCAGCAATAAAGTGACAACTGTCCTTTTTTTGGTTGTCTTGTTTCCAACAGAAGCCTGCAAAGAACAATGTCCTGATTATCACCAAATGCGTCTTCTCCTGTACTTACAAGGATGGTCTTTTTTGGGGGGGAGGGGTTGGGGGATAAGTAATAGAAGCATTTGCCAGAAGCTACAGAAAGCTTCACAATGTATAAATTGCCTATTTTTGCTCTCTTGGCGTGCAGATTCGACGTGATGGAGCAGCACTTTTGTGCTTTTGTGTCTGTACAACTTTGTCTGTGCATAAGAGAGACAGGCCTCAATAAATGATGGTTGCCATAGCAACTGTTAAAAAGCAGCTGTTGAATAAAATTTCAAGGCTAAATTTTTTTTTTCATCCCAGAGATTCTCGTACATCGAGTTAAAGGCCAATGAACCTCGATTGTGACCCCTGGTTCACATATATGCGGCCGTTGGGGCCGCGTTTTGCGCGGGCACGAGAGCCCATTCATTTGAATGGACTCCCGTGCCACACAGTGAAGAAGTCCCTGCACTTCTTTGGAAAACGCAGCCCGCACGGGATCCTCGGGTCCCAGTACGGTTGCATTTTCCGGTGCGGGCGGCGTGCCATTAGAAGTAATGGCACTTGCCTGCAGGTCCGCATTTCTCTGTGCGGGTGCACGGATATTCGTGTGGATTCGCAGTGGCAACACCCGCATAGATGTGAACCTAGGGTGAAAGGGGTCTGGAACAAGGGGTCAGGTCGTGGTGCTCCTTTTTCTCACCTGCAGCATTTTTGTTTGCTGTGGTATACACGGAACATTTCTTATATAGGAAGAACCTGCGGGTGTCTGCAAAGCAACTGGCCATGTTTTGGGGAGAAATGCAGGCCGCCCTTCTGTTTTGCTGGGGTCCTCCTAGATGTGCCTGCTTTTCTTGCCGGTCAGCATTTCCCAGATCTTGATTTGTTTGGGGTACCACTCTCTCAAACGTTGGAGCCACTTTACTGCTGAAGTAAAATAGCACAGTTGTGCTAGAATTGCACATGCAACATTTCTTGGCCATCCCTCTGAAAAGCATTCTCTGGTTGGATCACTTTTGGGAGGTGTTTGACAGGTTGATGGATGGACGATGATACATCGCCTCCTCACCCGCTTGTTGTAATTCTGTAAATTGTGTACCACCCTGCTCACTGTAACGAGTTGTGTTTGGTAGTGGTATTGCCTACCGAATTCAGTAGAGGACATGTATACACTCTCATTGGGCTGCCCTTGCAGCTTGAGGGCTGGACAGCAAAAATTAAGTCCTCATGCACACAGGACGTTCTTAAAACAAGAAACTGTACAGAGGAAAATCCAGCTCAATGAGCAAACCCCCAGCTCCTATATATTTCAGGTACTTCTATAGCGCCGTCAATTTACGCAGCACTTTACATATATATTGTACATTCACATCAGTCCCTAACCCTCAAGGGGCGTACAATCTAAGGTCCCTAACCCTCAAGGGGTGTACAATCTAAGGTCCCTAACCCTCAAGGGGCGTACAATCTAAGGTCCCTAACCCTCAAGGGGTGTACAATCTAAGGTCCCTAACCCTCAAGGGGCGTACAATCTAAGGTCCCTATCCCTCAAGGGCAAGGGGCATACAATCTAAGGTCCCTAACCCTCAAGGGGCGTACAATCTAAGGTCCCTAACCCTCAAGGAGCGTACAATCTAAGGTCCCTAAACCCTCAAGGGGTGTACAATCTAAGGTCCCTATCCCTCAAGGGCAAGGGGCGTACAATCTAAGGTCCCTAACCCTCAAGGGGCGTACAATCTAAGGTCCCTAACCCTCAAGGGGCGTACAATCTAAGGTCCCTAACCCACATTCATACATACTAGGGCCGATTTAGACAGGAGCCAATTAACCTATCAGAATGTCTTTGGAGTGTGGGAGGAAACCCACACAGGCACAGGGAGAACATGCAAACTCCAGGCAGGTGGTGCCGCGGTTGGGATTTGAACCAGCAACCCTAGTACTGCCAGGCGGAAGTGCTAACAATTTAGCCACTGTGTTGCCCAATATATAAGGAGCATAAAGTCTGATGTAAGAATAAAAGTCAGTAGAGCAGTAGAGCCAGCTTCATATACTCCGTATGGAAGTAAGAAGCGCCTCTAAGTGCAGCATAAGACGATATTTATTGACAAACCATGTAGAACCGCTCACATTGTATAAAATCAAAGTAAGCTAAACCACCAAGTAGCTTGATAAGGGAGCGCGCTTCCGCCCTTAGTGGTTTAGTGCATGCTCTGAAAATGCATCGCTATGCATGCTGATCTACACACGTCATTACGCTGACGTTGCGCTCCAAGGTGCATTCCAGACGCCATCATTAGACTTCACATGCCGGCCGGCAACCCTAACACATCCACGGTCTTCTCAGTGCGGACGTGGCTGTCACAGCAAGAACACAGCAATCCACCTACCCAGTTGAGCTTACTTTGATTTTATACAATTATTATTATTATACAGTATTTATACAGCGCCAAAAAGTTTGCTCAGCGCTGTACATTATAGTGGGGGACAGAACATGAGACAATACAGTAACAATACAATACACAAGGGGATTGAGGGCCCTGCTCCTTGGAGCTTACAATCTAGGTGGGAGGGGCTAGTGGTACAGGAGGAAGTGGCTGTGGGGATGGAGTGGTAGGAAGAGTGGAGGAGATCGGCTGTTAGGTGAGGGTGGGGTAGGCTTCCCTGAAGAGATGGGTTTTCAGGGTGGGCCTAAAGGTGGGGAGGGTAGGTGACAGTCTGATGGATTGGAGTAGAGAGTTCCAGAGGATGGGGGAAGTCCTGGAGAAGTCTTGGAGTCGGGTGTGGGAGGAGACGACCAGGGAACTAGAGAGTAGGAGGTCTTGTGAGGAGCGAAGATTACGGGTAGGGTGGTATTTGGGTATCAGGTCGGTGAGGTAGTTTGGGGGCAGTATTATGAATAGCTTTGTACGTCATTGTTAGTAGTTTGAATTTGATACGTTGGGCAATCGGGAGCCAGTGGAGGGAATGACAGAGGGGGGTGGAGCCAGTGGAGGGAATGACAGAGGGGGGTGGAGCCAGTGGAGGGAATGACAGAGGGGGGTGGCGGAAACGGAGCGGTTGGTTAGGTGGATGAGTCTGGCTGCTGAGTTCAGGATAGACTGAAGTGGAGAGAGTCTGTGAGTGAGTGGTTCTACGTTGTCAATATTGTCTTCTACTGCACTTGGAGGCGCTTCTTTCTTGTTTCTTTGGAGTGTGGGAGGAAAGAAGTACACGGGACATTTTTATAGCGGCTGTTTTTTGGCTTTTGACATATTTTTTTCTACAGCCACTAAACCCCCCAGCATGTTATCCGCTGTGTCCATGCACACACAGACTGTAATCAACGTTTTTTGGCTGGAAAGAAAACCCAGAACTAGTGGAGTTTTTTTTAGCTGTAAAAACGTTCTAACACTGAAAAACACAGCAAACCGGCTTTTTTTGCCCAAAAAACCTGCAGCTAAACGCTAATGCAAAAACGCTGAAAAACTTGCGTTTTTAATGTGACTTTACACAGCTAACGTTACCAGCGTTATTGAAACACCCCATGTGCATGGAGCCTAAAAATATAAAATAAAAGGTAAATTAAAAAAAAAAAAAAGCTCCAATACCTGTTTTTCCCACCTTCACCCACAAATGTAAACCGGGGCCTTAGGGCTTGCGTACTCCGGCATTAGTTTGCATCTAAATTGCTTTTCTCGTCCAATAGAAGTGCATGAGATTCTCAGGAGCAAGCTAAAATCACCTGAAGGTATGCTGGATTTACTCCTGCCAGACCTTTCAGCAGAATAGATTACAGGTAAAGTGGAGCTAAAATGAATACAAATCTGAGAGCAGGGAGGCCCTTAATTGTAGAAGAGAGAGACGCCATGTCCCTTCTGAAATAAAACGGGCTTGCCTTCCTCTATGCAATCTTCTTTAGAATGTGAATATGCACTGACTGCACATTCTGGGCACACTTTGATGCCAAGATAAATGACCCCCCCATGTGCACGCTTGAGAATGATGTCATTCCGTTTGGCCAATCAAAATGGCCAAAGATCTCGGAACCAGATGATGACCAAGTGAAGAGCAAGGGGAGGAGAGATTAGTTCTGCTTTAAGAAATACAGCCTGGTCATTGTTTTGTTAACTGTGTACACTAAGAGCCAGGAAATGGCCAAGAAGCTTTGTTTTGTATTTATAGCATTCGATACAAAACTTAATAAATAGAAATTTAAAAGTGTTACTAAACCTCTTGACCCTGCATTCACTATATCCAGTCTGCCCTTCCCTGCATTCACTATATCTGGTCTGCTCGGACCCTGCATTCACTATATCTGGTCTCCCCAGTCCCTGCATTCACTATATCGGTCTCCCCGTCCCTGCATTCACTATATCCGGTCTCCCCGTCCCCTGCATTCACTATATCCGGTCTCCCCTGGACCCTGCGTTCACTATATCCTGGTCTCCCCGGACCCTGCATTCACTACATCCGGTCTGCCTGGACCCTGCATTCACTATATCCGTCTGTCCCTGGACCCTGCATTCACTATATCCGCTCTGCCTGGACCCTGCGTTCACTATATCCGCTCTGCCTGGACCCCGCGTTCACTATATCGCTCTCCCCGGACCCTGCATTCACTATATCCGCTCTGCCCGGACCCCTGCATTCACTATATCCGCTCTGCCCGGACCCCGCATTCACTATATCCGGCTCTCCCCGGACCCCGCATTCACTATATCCGCTCTGCCCGGACCCCGCGTTCACTATATCCGCTCTGCCCGGACCCCGCATTCACTATATCGCTCTCCCCGGACCCTGCATTCACTATATCCGCTCTCCCCGGACCCTGCATTCACTATATCCGCTCTCCCCGGACCCCGCATTCACTATATCCGCTCTCCCCGGACCCTGCATTCACTATATCCGCTCTCCCCGGACCCCGCATTCACTATATCCGGTCTCCCCGGACCCCGCATTCACTATATCCGGTCTGCCCGGACCCCGCATTCACTATATCCGGTCTGCCCGGACCCCGCATTCACTATATCCGCTGCCCGGACCCCGCGGTTCACTATATCCGTCACCCCGCATTCCCTGTGTTCACGCTCTCCGGCCCGGACCCCGCATTCACTGTGTCCGCGTTCACTCTGCCCGGACCCCGCATTCACTGTGTGCCCGGACCCCGCGTTCACTATATCCCCTGCCCGGACCCCGCGTTCACTATATCCGGTCTGTGTCCGCTCTGCCCGGACCCCGCATTCACTGTGTCCGCTCTGCCCGGACCCCGCATTCACTGTGTCCAGTCTTCCACAGTACACAGAACATGGATGTGCAATTATATTGCACTATATCCGGTTTGATAAATATAAACTGCTGCCCTTACCCAGCAGTAAATAGCAGTCTTGTGACTTCTATCCGTGTCCAACTGAGCACTAGTTAAAGCTTGTAGGAGGAGTTTTCATTCCTCTCTGACTGTCCTATGAGGCTGCATGACCCTTGACCCTGTGAAAGAAATACAGCTTGGTGTAAGACCTGCCCCAGCCTAAGACCATGAAGGTACAGCAAGGATGTACAGTATTTATATAGCAGCTCAGCGGATGATGAGGCCATAACAATACAATTTTGGTCTCTCTAGGTCTTAGCTCTCACTTTTGGGTGAACAGCACTGTGCAATGCAGCAGAGCCTGATTGTCCCCAGAGTGCTTTCCCTACATCCCCCAGGCACAGAGATCTGCTTTGCAGGGGAATACAGTTTCAGGTCATTTATGGCAGTCACATCAAATAAACAATAAAAAACCTTTACATTTATGTGTGCCGATGACTATAAATGACAGCCAGAGTCCCACCTAAACACTTCCTGAGGACGCCAGTGTGACGAAATGCGTTGAGGCTGGACTTTGGCCGTCCTTTCCAGTTAGTGGTGATGTCACATCTGGGTTATGTCTTCCGGCTCGTGGAACGCACGAAGACTCCGGTGACCGCGGGGCTGCGACCTCCCTGTGCATTATGTTACACTGCTGCCTATGTTGGTGCCTGCTATTACCACACACAAATGTGGTTTGGGTTTTGTTTTTTTTTTTGTTTATGTGATGAGATTGCCATAGTAAATACTACACCATGAGTATGTTCTGGTGCATTTGGCTTTATTTTTGAGAATGAGAGAGGGGAGAACTGAGCCTGTGGACCTTGTAGAAGCCCCCTGGGAGACTGGATTCTTGGGCTACAGAGGAACATACATTATCTGAACCTGCAAAAGCGCAAATTGACTGTCTTGTTCCAAGGGGTCATTATATTTTAATGAGTGTGCAGTTTTATTATCACGAGGTAATAAATGGTGATCACGGGGATAAGTGAGGACAAGAATACGCTTTATATGGGGTGGGGGAACATTTGTTTTGACCCATGGACTTATGGGTATTATTTTATGGACTTTTTAAAGATTTGGGACTAATTTATTCATGGTTTTTGATCTACTCTTTTATCAGCTGTGTCATAATTTGTTTTTATTTGTTTTTATAGTGGGCCTGTGTCTGTCAAATGAGAATAAAAAGTAAGAGACTTGTGTATAACAAGCTCAGCAGCTGGGAATGTCCAGTGTTTGTCTTTAGGATGGAGCTGTGCCCGCCATCATTCCTGGGTGTAGAAGCTGCAGTCACAACTGTGCTCTGCCGAGGTGTCATTAATGTGTATGACTGCCGATCTGTCACTGGTTACATGTGCGGGTAGGAGCCTGTCCTCCCTTCCATTCTGTATGAAGGTGCTATTAAATTTACATCCGTTTGAGTGAATAATCCACAGCACTCAAGTTCACGTGTCCTCATGTGCCCTGTGCTTCACTGGGGCTGAGACCAAAATATTTCTTTCCCAGTATAAGACTAGAAAGTAAAGAATATCTTCAGCCAGATATAGAAAATAGCTGTGGTCAATGTAGGAATGATAAACAAGAAGAACTTGCCCATTCCAGCCAATGAGAATGCAGTTGTCATTCTCGTTACCATCAGGGCACTCTGCTTTTAATCAGCTGAAGTGAAGGGGTGTGTGTGTGTATATATGTGTGTGTGTGTATATATATGTATGTATATGTGTGTGTGTATGTACACACACCCCCACACACCCATAAATATTGGGACATCGACACAATTCTAAGATTTTTGGCTCTATACACCACCACAATGGATTTGAAATGAAACGAACAAGATGTGCTTTAACTGCAGGCTGTCAGATTTAATTTGAGGGTATATTTACATCCAAATCAGGTGAACGGTGTAGGAATTGCAACAGTTTGCATATGTGCCTCCCACTTGTTAAGGGACCAAAAGTAATGGGACAATTGGCTTCTCAGCTGTTCCATGGCCAGGTGTGTGTTATTCCCTCTCAAGATGAGATCCAAAGAGCTGTCACTATCAGTGAAGCAAGCCATCATTAGGCTGAAAAAAAACAAAACAAACCCATCAGAGAGATAGCAAAAACATTAGGCGTGGCCAAAACAACTCTTTGGAACATTCTTAAAAAGAAGGAACGCACCGGTGAGCTCAGCAACACCAAAAGACCCCACATCTCTCATCTACAATGTAAAACATTAGATTAAAAAAAAGCATTAATGATATAATGCTTTTTTTTTAAAAAAAAAAAAAAAAAGGCCTTGTTTACAAGGTTCCAGATCTGGAAGTGACGTAATGACGTCGCTCCGGTCCTCCAAGGGCACAGAGATGAGTGGAGGCCATCTTTTTCCTTCACTGATCTCTATGCCCAGCAACAGGATTGTTGGATGGGTTTTCGGGTAAGGATGAGAACCACCAAGGGGGGGAGGGTTAATTTCGGCACCTGTATCTGTGCTTATTTTCATATCGGCTAAGGGCCGATAGGGGTATTTTCGGCTGAAACGTTTCGGCCACCGAAGTTTCGGTGCATCCCTAATTTCCAAATACTTCTGTACAATGTTTAAACTGTATTCTGATATGTTTTTTTGTTTTTTTGCTCTAATAGCGGACAGTAGGGTGCAAGTTGCCTGGCATATCGCACCCGATGTGACCGGGGGGCTAAGTGTTCTGACCCTTTACTCATTACTTTGTTTAAGCACCTTTTGACAGCAATTGCAGCCTTGAGTCTTTTTGGGTATGACACCACAAGCTTTTACATACCAGGTTTGGGGGATTTTGCCATTCTTCTTTGCAAATCCTATCAAGCTCAGTCAGGTTGCATAGGGGCCGTCGTGGACAGCCATTTCCAGTCCAGAGATGTTCAATAGGGTTCAGGTGAGGGCTGTAGGTGGGCCACTCGAGGACTTTTGCAGAGTGAAGGGGGTCTGCATACTTGATGAATGCTCTGTATCTCAGAGATCTATATTATGTTGCACAAAGAATGTGCAGTTGTGTCTGAAGTGGTGATGATGCGCTGCTCCAGGGGTTGTCAACTTATGAGCTAAAGGGGGCCTCAAATGTGGCCCCTGACATTGCCTAAGGGCCGCACATAATGTTCACTATATGTAATGCTTGAGAGGACTGTCAGAACCTGCAGATCTATTAGAGCAGTGGTTCTCAACCTGTGGGTCGCGACCCCTTTGGGGGTCAAACGACCCTTTCACAGGGGTCCCCTAAGACCATCAGAAAACACATATTTCCGATGTGTAAAGAGCAGCTACTGTGTTGAAAGCAGCTACTGTGTTGAAAGCAGCAGTATTGGAGGTAAAACGACACTCATGGGGTTTGGGGGTCACCACAACATGAGGAACTGTATTAAAGGGTCACGGCATTAGGAAGGTTGAGAACCACTGTATTAGAGGAAATGAGGGTCAGAGAGTGAGGACGGGATACATTGTTGGCTGGGGGTGGCTACAGAAGACAATACAAAACTGGGAACATGTTACATGAGGCTAGTAGAGATCAATGCTATTACCCCAATCAATGATCCCACTACAGGCTGCTGAGGGCCACACATCATATACCAAAGGGTCGCTTGGCCACTGGGCCCGAGGTTGGGCACCAGGGCTGTACTCCATCATGGATTACGTCTGATTATTCCTATGATTGATCTGACATATCATATGAGTTACGGTATATGTATTATTAAATGACTGTGGAGGAGTCTCTGCCTGTTAAATGCAGGCTATACATGAGCCATGCTGTTCCCTAGGTCGGAGACCAGGCCTGTTCTCTAGAAAGTACTTTATATCTCTGACCGGGGGCTGAATTTTGGCTGCATAACCGCTAGGAGCATTTAGGTTTGCCTATGACTGTCATAACAATGCTTGTTTGTCTTTGGGGGTTTATTTACTAAAGCTGGAGAGTGCAAAATCAGACTCACTTCTGCATAGAAACCAATCAGCTTCCAGGTTTCATTGCCAAAGCTTCATTGAACAAGCTGAGGTTAGAAGCTGATTGGTTTCTATGCAGAAGGGAGTCTGATTTTGGACTCTCCAGCTTTAGTAACTAAACCCCTTTATGTCTAAAAGTATCATTGCACAGTTCTGTGAGGTGCACAAGTCACAGGCCTTTGATTTCTTTTTGTATTTCTAGTACAGTTTTTTTTTTTAATTGAAATTTTTTCTCTCTTGTTTTTTTGCAGGGGTGGCCCATCGTAGCCAGAGCAGTGAGGGGGTCAGTTCGCTCAGCAGTTCCCCATCAAACAGCCTTGAAACCCAATCTCAGTCCCTGTCCCGTTCCCAGAGCATGGACATCGACAGCGTTGCCTGTGAGAAAAGGTAACACACTTGGCCTGTTTTATGTAGTTATAGATTTGCCAGCTTCATATGTTCACCTTGCTTTCACTCGTACCACCGCGGCTTCCTGCCAACAGGAGCAAGAGCTATATCTAGTACTCCTGAGAATGGGGGATATGCTCCTTCTATACACATCGCAGTGCTGGTGACTGACTTCTCAAATTCCCAGCATGTCACATGGGGGCTGGAAGGAGTCTGAAGTCCTTTATAATTCTAGGTCACAGCCCGGAACTTATTCAGAACAT